CGTATCAGTCTAAAGAGGATGTTAAAGCGTCCTCTGAAGCATTCTCCTTCAAAAAAGAAATGCTGTTTCTCATGGACTCCAGACTTCCTGGAGCCATGAAGGTTGGATGAGCCCCTGAAACTACTGCCCTGAGATAATCTTTAAACCTTAAACTAAAAATATCCCCTGAAATCTTCTTAAAACCAAACAATAGTTTAGCTTAACTAGTAAAAAAAAAAAAAAAGTTGTCTTTGAGCATTATGCTCTCTTAGGAACTATCTATATGGCATCAAATTGATAACAGCAACTTGAAAGATTAGATAGGAGTATTAGGGAGCAGTGAATTTATGTCAGTAGGGGAGGAACAACTCAGAAATGGAGAGAGAATGGTTGTACAACTTGAAGAATGGCACTAAATGGTACGTGTAGAAACTGTTGAATGCTGAATGTTTTGCTGTGTATATTCTCAACAATAACAAAGTAAATAAAATTACATATTAAAAAAACTCTTTAAGTCTAAAATAAAAATTCTGAGTAATTTAAAAAAAAAGAAATGTTTGCCTTTCTTTTAGGATACTGATATATAGACAAGTTAGATACTTTGCTGGATAGTTAAAAATCTGGATGAATTCCCTCATATTCTCCATATGTTGTTTCCATTAGGCTAAAATAATTTCTCTTGGCCTAGTCCTTGTTGATTAGTTATGTTTAAGGTGCTTTATTTAAGTTATACCTTTGTAGATGAATTTAGCCCTTAGGAGTACCATCATAAAGGACCATTTATTAAGCTCTTATTTGCGTATGGTGATCTAACTTTCTTAGTGTTTCTCATTTATCTGTTTTCCTTCTCTAGCTTCAAAGGAACATTTTGGCATCTAATCCCAGGGTCACAAGATTCCACATTAATTGGGAAGATAACACAGAAAAACTGGAGGATGCAGAGAGCAGTAATCCAAATCTACAGTCACTTCTTTCAACAGATGCATTGCCTTCAGCATCAAAGGGATGGTCCACGTCAGAAAACTCACTAAATGTCATGTTAGAATCCCACATGGACTGCATGTGACCACCTGCCAGCCCTTTAGTACAAATTAAGCTATAAAAACACAGAACTATTTCCCTGAGATTCCGTAAGTACATAGTCAAGATACAATGTGAAAAATTTGTTTAAACATCATCCTGTAGAAAGTTTATAAGAAAACCAGTATTTGAGCAAATTGTGGAATATAAATACAACTATTTTTAAGTAATTTTTCTCTAACGTGTTATTTTATTTGTTTTGAGACTAATCTGATTAAAGTATATATATTACTTTCTTCTTCTCTATAATGTAATTAAAGCAATTATAAAGAAAAGTATGAACTCTAGACCAGGTTGTAAAGATGTCTTAGTCTCTTGGACAATAATCTTGTGGACCACTATTCAAAAGAAGGCCAGTAAATATATAGTATGGTTAAATTTAAGGGGCAAGTTTCCATTCTTCTTTGGCATGTCCTTTAAAAGGAAATTTGAAATCAACAATGTGCTACCAAGAACTTTAGGACCGGCTTTCCTGGGCCACTCTGAAGCCGCTTATGGCTACTACTGCAGTTCACGTGATGTTGCACAGCATGTGGTTTGGGTTCGAATATAATACAAATGTGGTTAATTGTTTATAAGGTCCTCTGGTTATGTTTGTTTTTTTTTTAATACCAGAGTTTAGGACATTAGAGCACTCCCTGAATCATCCTATCGTTATTGCCCAGTGAATTCAGCATGTCAAAAGCAAACACGAACTCTCTAAGTTTAAAAACAGATTATGATGGCTCAAGTCTGTTTATCAGATTTATAAAAATGCTATGAATTTAACTTCTTTAAAAATTGTTTTGATACATCATCCCCTTGTTGGCACCATTTATATAGAATCTGGATTTGGAAAGGCATATTTAGCTTTATCATAATAGGCAAGTTACTATTTGGGAATATAGCCATGTGATGCAAAGTTATGCAGTGCCTTCACATCTAAAACTTATACTGCATTTTTTCAAGCTTTTATTTTGAGGAATAGAAAAAGACATTTAGCTAAACATAGATTCTAAGTTGTACAGATTCCTTGTCATTCTAAAAAAGTGAATTTGTAAGGCAAAATTTTGCTAAATGTTAAAGTTTAATATACTAGATTATTAAAATATTGTCCATTAACTAGTCCATAGATTTGAAAAGTAAAATACATCCAACTCTTAAAACCATGAATTTTTTTGTCTAATTGTAATTAAAAGAAAATATTATTTAAAATGAAAATAAAAATAATACTTCCCAATAAAGAGCTCAGTGATTAATATAACAGGAACAAAATACATGCTTGTTAGAAATAAAGCATATATAAGCCAAATTACCAAATAAAACAATTCACTGCTGAGTTTTTATTTGATTAATTATAATGATTAGTGTGTATTGACATTAAAGGGTTAAGTTCTTATATCAATTTGTAAGTGGAGAGCCAATTGTCACAAAAGTTTGGAACCTAAACATTCACTTTAAAAATGATTACCTGTTATTATTTTAAATATTTTGACTCTGTAAGTCTTAGAAATAATTAATGACTGAAAATAAGAAAGATTTAGAACTAAAACTAAAAAACTGGATAGCACATAGTTGGTCCCCCCCCCCCAATTTGGCCTCATTTACAGATGCTATCTGAATTATAGCTAGAAGGTTTAGAACTGTTGTTCCCCTTTTGGATCACAGTAGATAAATAACTGTGTCCTGAGAAGATATACATAACAGATTACTTATGCTGTTGAACAGATAGGCGAATAGGTCAGAGGAAATGAGGACAGCCGTTTGAGCTGAGAAAACATTCAGGAAATCTGAGGAAGCCTGCATGCATTTGCTCATACATAACCTTTTATAGCCTTAGGGTTCCATGCAGTCTTACCCTCTGGTTTTAGGATTTGGGGTTTCTAGGTTTTATTTTATACAGAGTTTAGGACATCAGAGTACTCCCTGAATCATAATCATATGTCTAATAAAGTATATGGCAGCAACTTTTAAAACTTGTCATAATCCACAGTAAAAAAAAAAAAAA